CCTGCTATGTAGCTAATGTACTGAGTTTTTGACCCAAGGTTGCACTTCTAAGATGTGAAGTTTTTAATGAACATAGCATTTACCATCATTCTGATACTATAAACCGTAGTTGTCTCATAATTATTTTCTTGGTAAAAATTCTTTTCTTTGTTGAGTTTTAATGTTTCTGATGGTCATGGCTTCCCTTCAACACTGAGGGATTCTCAGTTGCATACTCATCTTATTACTGAAATGCTATGAGCCTGCTGTATCTATTCTACAACTTGTTTGTAGGAGATGCAGGATAGGCTGGGCTTGAAAGATACCTAAGCCTCTTTCAAAGTAAAGGACATGCTGGGACAGACTTCTTGGTGGGCTGTGCCAGTAGCTAATGATCGAAGCGCAGAGGCTCTCTCTTTCCTCATAGGTATTACCTACCCTGAGAGCTTTGCTACTATTTCTCTAATTCAAATATCCCAGTCTCTACTGGGGCTTGAGAAAAAGTATCTCTATTGTTCTCTGCCTGCCCCAAGGAAAAAGTAGTTAAAGCAGGAAAAATGCCTGAGGGCCAGGCAGTGGGTCAGCCTTAATCAACTGTATCCACATAGGAAAGGTCCTGGGTTCGTGTCCTAGGCCCTTCCTGGGCAGATCAGGCACAGGCACGTACCTATGATCAAGGCTGGCTGAGACTAGGGTGTCATGGCATGAGGAACTTCTTAGGGATGCCTCCCTCCATCTTTCTCATGGAAATAAACTTCTTAAAAAATGTCTGGCTCATGTTCATTATCCTTGGGATCACCCTCAAAGTATATACCAAACTCTTCCTTGTTGAGACAACCCTTGCAACCAATATCCTCCATCATGTACTTTGAATTATGGATTTGTTCATTTGGACGCTGTCTTTCTTTCAGTAACTCATCATAATTGCTAGTTCATGGAGTACTCAATTTTTAATGGTTTATTGGGAATCATTTATGAAAATACGTTTTAAATCATTTTGAAGTTTTGAAGAAGAGGAAGCTGTACCAGGTGTTCACTCTGCTATTTTAAAATGGAAATCTTTCTTCTGTTTTCTCAATGATACAAAAAACATAGAATTAAATAGTTGTATCAATTTTGTTTAAAAAACATACTATTTGTATATGAGAATCACATAAATATCCTTTTTTTCCCCCTTCTGTTTATACAGTCACCATCCATGACTGGCCATGACAAAGATTATAGTGGGCTAAATGATATACAAAGAACAGAACTTGATAGTATGCAACCATAGTTAGAATTTTTTATGTGGTAGTGAATAAACATTTCAGTACTGATGCGGTTTCTCTCTCCCAACCTAATGGTATGGACACAGCCCACAAGTCTAGGCGCCTGTATCTTGGAAGACTTGCTACCATTCTTTACGCGGTCAAGACCACTGAACTTTAGAATTAAGGAGGCAATCAAAACCTTACAACAACTCAGCAGTTTGTACATTATCTCCATTCCTCAAGTGAGGAAAGGCCTAGTGGAGTTAAGTTGTTCAAACTCACAAGAGCTAATTATAAGCATCAAATGTTGAACTTGCTGGCCCAAAGTCTGCCATTTTTAAGTCAAAAGTTCTTTATCCAATGCTATTCGAGAAGGGATACAGAGGTAGAGCACTGATGGGATGGGGAGGTGTGGCGTTATCTGTTAAAGATATTTTGATCAACAGGTCTGGGGAGAAATGTGCACATATCGAAATGGTCTCATGGTAAGCCAAACAATATGATTGAAAGTATATACAAAAACCAATGGGAACAAGCAGTTAGCGTAAAGGCTATGTCGCTGGACTCCCACGTAGTCAACTGTGGTTCGCGTCCCGGACCCGGTGGCTTAAAACTCACGCCAGGCGTGTGTGCGTGCATGCCCAAGATCCCGAGAGGAGAATGGTGGAGAAGGGATTGTGGCGTGACCATCCCCCCTGGGGGGTGATTTCTCGCTTTCTGTCTCTATGTCTCTCTCTGTCTGGCGAGCACACACGCCCAATAGCGAAAACCCCTCAGAAAAAAAAAAAAG